TTGTCATTTCAGGGACTGGCACCCTGCCCGGTGGGTCAAAGGAACATGATTGGCAACTCAGGCGAGGGCACGATGACAGGCTTCCCGGCTACTAGGGCAGGTAGCAAGTCACACACTTTGTCACACTCTCTCTCGAGGAAAGCGGTGCGTGGAAGCTGTTTCCACGGAAAGAAAAGTCACCTTGGCCAGCCTGGTTTACCTCACGCTGGCAGGTGGCGCCGCCACAGGGACCAAGGTCAGCGCCGTGACCGCGCGCGGCGAACACAAGGACAGAGGCCTGTTAGGGCCAGCGCCCGCAGGACAAAGGAACGCGCACGGACCGGAGGACGCGGCCCGACGTAGACCGCCACGTGACGTGCCGCGACCTTGGGGCTCACCCCAGCCGCCGCGCCACTGAACCACCTCGCCCGCCGCCTCCGCTGCCGGGCCGCTAGAGCCAATGGCTCTCGGCCCCGCGACCCCCGGCGCGTGCCCGCGTCTGCCAATCTCCGCCCGCCAGGCGGACCCCGCCGTGCCATTGGCTGCGATGCCTGTCCGTCAAGCCCCGTCCCCCTCCCACCATCACCGCCCTCCGTCAGCCCCGCTCGGTCCAGTTCCACGCCCGTCACTCAGGAGCCCTGGCTGCAAGGGCGCGCAGAGCTCACCCTCCGCCGCAAGCCCAAACCCGCAGGCGCCGCGACTCCCAACACTGACCCCAACCCGCCTACAGCTCGCAGTTACCTGTATCCCGCTCAGCTCCACCCGACTGAGAAGCCGACACCCCACTCCCGGGCTCCAAACTCTCAGTCCCGCCCCTGCGTGTGGCGTCAGCGCGTAGCCCGGCCCCAAAGGAGAGGCCCGCTGTGGGTGTAGTCATGACGTCACAGAGTTACCCTTCAGTCACCCTGGGCTTGTATGGAGGCTTCCTGTAGGCTGAGGTTCGCCTGTTTCCACACTAGGGTGTTTCTACGGTCGTTAGTCGTTTCTAAGACTGAGATGCTTCCAATCCTAAGATTCCAATCGTGGTGGGCTTTTAATGCCCTCACTGGAGGTAGTTGGGGGGGTGTTGGGGGGGCGGGGGGCTCTCTCTTGAGTTCCAGGCCAGCCAGGGCTACATAGTTAGATTCTGCTTAAAAAAAACAAAACAACAAAAGGGGTGGAGAGATGGCTCAATGGTTAAGAGCACTTGCTGCTTTTGCAGAGGACCTGGGTTCAGTTCCCAGCACTCCAATGGAAGCTAACAACCAACAGTAACGCCAGTTCCAGGAGCTCCAACGCCATCTTCTGGCATTCACGGTCATTGCATGCACAAAGTGTCATATATATACAGGCAAAACACTCATACACATAAAATAATAAATTAATAAAAGAATCTGGTAAGCGCAGAACATGTGGCACACTCCTGTAATTGCAGCACTTGGCAGGTGGAGGCAGGAGAATTGCAAATTTGAAGCCAGTCTGAGCTATGTAGTGAGACCCTATATTCAAAATAAGCAGCACTAAATGATAGTTGGATTGATGAAATTCATCACTGAACAAAAACAATTTGAATAACAAAATTACATTTTTGATCAACAGTTAATATGTACTTTTGGTTGTTTTTTTGTTTTGTTTTGTTTTTTGGTCCTTTTGAGACAGGGTCTCCCTGTAGCCCCAGCTTGGCCTTGAATTCACAGAGATCTGCCTGCCTCTGCCTCCTGAGTGCTGGAACTAAAGGCCTGTGCCACCATGCCAGGCCTTAATGTGCCCTTTCAGCCTGTGACTTGGGTCTTGTATCAGCATTTTGACAGGAGGCTGTGCTAGGAACACACACCCACCACCACCACCCCTCCCCACATCCCACTCCATACCCTGGCTCTAGAGTCAACTATTACAAAATGCCACTAATTAACCTGTCACAATCCACTGATCATGAATGTTCATCCAGGCTTGAGTGCACACATTTGTAATCCCAGCACAGGGAAGACTGTGACAAGAGGATTGCCCATTGGAGGCCAGGCTGAACTACACGGAGATGTGATGGAACATAGTAAGTTATGCACATTGAAAATGTTAGTTACTTTTAGCTCATCTTAATTACAAGTTAGGGATAGGTTCAGTTCATACTTCTTTTTAAAATTCTTTTTATTTTAAATCAGGATCGCATGTAGCCCTGACTGGCCTTAAACTCACTATGTAAGCTGGCCTTGAAATTCTGGGGTTTTTTGCCTCCATCTGCCAAGTGCTGGGATGACAGGCATGTGCCACCATGCCTAGCTCCCATCTCTCCAGTCCCTATTTTATAGTTTTCATTTACAAGTCTTTTACTTCCTTGTTAAATTTATTTCAGGATAGTTGGGATATGATACTGAAGTAGAATGCTTACCTTATCTAGCATGCACTAAGCCTTGGATTCAGTTCCCACCACAGCAAAATAATTTTAACCCTTCCTCCTGTGAAGGAGAAGTTCCCAGAAGATTCCTGGTGCACTTACATACATGCAGGCCATATGTGTCAAATTGACACACCTAGGTTGAGGCAGCTTCAACTGGGGAATTGCCTCCATTGGACTGGCTTGTGGCCATGTCTGCGGAACATCTTCTTGATTATTGAGTGACATAAGAGGGCCCAGTCCACTGTGGGTGATGCCACCCCTGGGCAGGTGGGCCTATGTTGTATAGGAAAGCAGGTTGAGGGGCTGGAGAGATGGCTCAGCAGTTAAGAACACTGATTGTTCTCGCAGAAGACCCGGGTTCAAATCCCAACACCCACATGGCAGCTAACAACTGTCGGTAATTCCAGTTCCAGGGCATCTGACAGCCTCTTCTGTCCTCCACAGGCATTGCGTGACACAGGTGCACTTACTCACATGCAGGCATAACATTCATACAAATAAAATAAAAATAATAAATAAAATTTAAAAAAATTATATACTATGATGAAAGTAGCTTTATTATTGGAATG